AGACAGAGAGACAGAAAGTGAGAAATCACTCCCCAGGGGATGGCCATAATGCAATCCCTTCTCCTCCATTCTTCTTTTGGAGTCTTGGGCTTACACACACATGCGCCCTGTGCCCTGTGTGGTTTTAAACCACCAGGTCCAGGACTCAAACCATGGTCGACTACATGGGAGTCCAGCGACATAGCCATTACGCCAACTGCTGGTCCCAACATTGACATTTTAAAAAAGATCAGATCTCTTGTTTTATGGGATATCCACATTCTAGATTTGCTTGCTTTCCTACAATGTAACTTGTCCCTCTAACCCCTGAATTTCGGGAAACTGAAAGGTAGATCTAAAGGCTTGATAGGATTCAGATTAAACTTTCAAAAAAAATTTTTTTTTTTTTTTTTTTTTGCCAAAAGGCATGTGTACCTGCTGGAGAGAGATAGAGAGAGGGAAAATGAGGAATCACCTCCCATGGGAATGTCTGCACTTCAGTCTCTTCTCTTCTGTTCTCCTAGGATTTTGGGCAGATGGGTTCGGAACTCTAACCTTAGTTGGCCATGCAGGAATCCAGTGCCTTGATCTCCATGCCACCTATTAGTCCTCAGATTAAGCTTTTTTGGCAAATGACTCCATTGGGGTGATGCTGTATGTTCCATATTGCACCACATCAGGAAGGACATAAGTACCAGGTTATCCCTCTGCTAGGAATTGTAAGTTTTTCTTGATTTTGTTTTGTTTTAGGTTCTGGTCACAGGGTGTGTGCACTTGCCAGAAAGAAACAGAGACAGACAGTGAGAGGCAAAGTGAGAAATCACTTCCTGGGGAGATGGCCATGCCACAGTCCCTTCTCCTCCATTCTCCTCCTGGGATTTTTGGCACACACGTGTGCCTGGTGTTATTTTCAAGCCACCAGGTCTGAAACTTGAACTGTGGTTGGCTGTGTGGGAGTCCAGCACCTTACTCATCACTGTATAATAGGGTAGTTTCTGTAAAAGCACATTTATCCCTTTGTAATTAGCAAGTAACCCATAAGGTAGTATTTAGATGCCATACACATAGTTCGTTCCCAGTACTTTAATATGGTTTTAGTATATATTGATGTGATCCCATCCTGAACTGGTTATTTCAGAGGGATTGTGAAGGATGACTTTCTAGTGCTATTCTGCCTTGTACATTTATTAAATGGGGTTAATCCAGAGGTGGAAGTTAAGACCCAAGGAAGGAATTGAGGAAAATTAAGTGTCCTGTAAAAGGCAGATCTTAGTTTTGTGGACTTTGACTTATATGTCCTTCCTTTGTAAGTAAAAGTTCAAAATTAGACATAAGAGCAAAAATTTTAGATTAGAAAAATATCACAGCTTAACAGTTTTAAAAGTTAATTTATCTCTTCCATGAGCATGACAGAGACAGCACTCCAACAGGGCCTTAATGCTGGGGCCCGCTCCCAGCCTCCGCCAGCCCAGATCATGGGCACGTGTGTGGCCGGTGTATCCAAGAAGGTCCCTGGACATGAACTGGAGACTTACTGTGAGTGTAGCCTCTCAGAGCATCACTTTGTTTTTGTTTTTGTTTTTTAAGGTTTTTGCCATAGGGCATGTGCTCTTTAGGGACGAGAGAGACAGTGAGAGGGAAAATGA